CTTTAAACACTAGTTTAAAGGGAAATACAGTAAACTCTCAGTTATCCGCTATTCAACTTACCAGAACTCTCATCTAACCAGGAAAAACCTACCCCTATTTTGCTGATAATAATATTAATATGAAGTCAATACAGAGTTTATGGTATGGTATAGTATGTGGTATGGCATTAGTTAGACCTATTTTTTATAGCAACTTTCAAGCAACCAAAAACTAAATTTCTCCGGAATCTATCAATCGCCGTGGATGTTGGATAACGGGGAGTTTACTGTATTGATGTTAGCTATTGCAACCAGTCAAAGGGCTGATGGATTTAAACTGGAGAAATGCAAATGAGAATAAATGTAGAATTGTAGACAATATCAACCAATCAAGCTTTACCTTTCATTTTGTAGATGAAATAGGGCCCATTTACACTAGCCTGTCCACTGAAACGGGCGAGTGTGCTGTGACAGCTCCAGTAGTGTGTGTTGCATCGCGCGTGGCCAGAGCTGTCACTGTTTTATATATATATATATATACATATACATTTTTTTATTTATTTGGAGTGTACATTCCATTCAGGTCCCAGCATGGCAGCGTGGTCTGCTGTGCGGTGACCTGCATGTTTGCATTTTATAGCAGTGCACCTTGCACAGCACAGGTCATGTATGAACGGGACCTAAAACAAGAATTCTGATTTTCAGGCAGCTGAAGTTTTGCGCTCATCTCCTGTTATTCAATCAGCCCCCAAATGTTTGTTCAGTTTCTAACTTATAGCAAAGTATGCTAGTTTTCTTCTATAACTAGCAAATAAGTTGTGGAACATATGTTTTAATCCTTTGTGCATAAGTTATGAATGGTCTGTCTGTATTTTGCTCCTAAAAATGAAGGATATGTGACATCAAGGGAGTGTTCCTTGCCTACAGATTTTGGCACCAAAAGGTGTCTGTCTTTCCTGTTTCAGAAAATCCTGAGGTATGAAGCCCAAGGGCACGTAGCATTGGACCATCTGCTTCAGTTTAGCAGCAGACGTTAATTAAAGTATTCTCAGTGAAGAAAGTGTGCGTGTGGAGGCTTTGGAGGAACACAAAACACTCAAGACAAGAAGACCATTTCTAAAACGCATATGACAAAGCTAACAGAACATTACAGTACTAATATTCTGAAACATATATATTCACTAAATTAAATCTGTAGTGTTTTGAACACATTTTCAACCTTAAAAAAATGTTTTAAAATATGTACGTTCTTTTTGTCAGGTAAATATGAAATATTGAATACGAACATTTATTATATGCCACTTGCAGCCAACAGGTGGTGCATCACATCAATTCTCTAGCACTTTGGTGATGAGTTAGTACTATACTATGAAGCCTGAAGTTTGAAGCCATCACCTGCTGTTGTATGGAGGGACCACCCTTTCTCTATTTCATTCAGCTCTGTATGTAGCTTCAATTAGACAGAGACAGCCCATGAGTAAATCGCTACTGCTAGGTTGTATTAGAAAGACTAGATTTTTCTGTAAACATAGTGTCATGGATGCACTCTGTATTCAATTTTATTTCGAAAACATACGTTTTATAAAAACGTATAATGTTTTTTTGTACAATAGTGATATAAATGATCTATTTGTATCCCGCGTCGAAGTAGCCCACCAAAATGTAAGTACAATTAGCCAAAAAACATTGTATGTACCCTTTTGAAGGGGCTTTCAAGTTAAGAAGTAGATTTCCATAATTCTTCTTTGACCTCCTGACATTTACAAGTTCCCCAGCCATGTCCTGCAGGACACACATTTTTAAACTATTACTTAGGCCAGTGATGGGATTTCTAAGTAGTGCAATGACAATAATCAGCTGTTTTCACAGGTTGCTCGATTGCTGGCTGGATGAGTGAGTTGTCGCTCCCTTTCTGATAGAAACACTGCCAGTGACAGAGGAAAACCTTTCCCACCCAGCCAGCGAGGGTGCAACCTGTTCAAACAAGTAAGTATTTCTTTGCCCTTCCTCGTCCTGCATACCGAACCTGTGACTGACAAGCAACAGATCATAAGCATGAAATGAACTTTACTGCAAACAACCCCACCACCACCACCACCTACACTTGCATACATTTAACTTTTTTTAAAAAGATACCAAATCCATTATAGTTTTCCTTTACAATTTTTTTTTTTTTTTCTTTCAGCAGATCTAGCTAGACGTGTTTTGATGTTAAGTACATGCTTGCTAAGTACTGTGTAAATGTAACACTTAACAGATATATTTTACCTCCCACAGTTCTCCCCCCCCAGCAATAAACTTAATTTACAAATCTTAACACAAGGCTGAGGATCTTTATTTTAAGCCATGCAACTGCAACTGTCAAATCTAATTTAACTGTCACGTTTTTGAAAATACGAATCCTTATCTTGGTGTGTTACCAATGAGAACAGGGCCTATTGTCTCCGGAAGGAGGGTGTTATTTTACAGACATCATCCCGGGCCAACATCTATTTCCTGATAAGATAGATCAGAGATGACCGTTTAATTCCTTGTTCTTGTGATGTCCGTTGATGTGACTTTATACATGTTGCCTACCACAGATCAGCCCCCTGATGCTTCCCTTTTTTTGCAGCTTGTCCTAAAGTTACAGATTTACAATTTGAGTTATCACTCGGGCATGGTAGACTAAGGAAATGTTTTCCTTAGTGCAGGTGACTGATGATGCAATTCTCACTTACTGCTTAACTTAGCATAGGCATAGTCTCTTTCCTAGAGCATAAGTACTGCTTTTTAATTATGAAAGATATAGCTTTTATTAAAAAAGTTTACTGATGTAGCCACCCTGCCCTAAATTTAAACTCTTTAAATTTAGTTCTGCTAGGCTGTAGCCAGCCTAAGCCAGATTTGATACTTTTGCTTTTGTTGGGTTGTCCCTATGCTCAGTGTTACTATGTGCTTCTGTCTGCTGCCTGGGGAGTGTACCTGGCAACAGTATGGGAAAATACAATAACCTGAGTTATGAATATACCACTACGAGGTCTATTGCCAGTTGTGCAGACCTAAGAAAGGTTTTCAGTATTTTGAAAAACCTTCTGGAAGCTCTCTAGCTTCTCAGGCTTTGTCTGGGGAGGATGTGTATGGCCTTACAGGCCTGGTGCCTGAAGAGGACACATGTGCTTGTTGACAATAGATCCAAAGCTGGGCAGTTTGCACTGCCTAGCTGGAAGTGTTTCCTGACAGGTGTGAAGCTGAACCTTGGATCTGAGCACCAAGGGTGAGCCCAGAGAAACTGCATAGAAGCTGAGACCTTGTGAGTCTGTTGTCCTTTCAAGCATAAGTGCTTTTACTGCCCTTCAGTCTGTTTTAATATGCAGAGTACTGGTCTTGACTTTAAGGTCCTCCTCTGACTGGAAGAAGTATTTGCAGTGTGTGATCCATGCTGTATTTTGGGGTATCCTGTGACCCTAACCCTCAGTTTAAAGTTTATTGACCCTGTAATAAACTCTATCAACTGTTAAAAAATAACTGGCGTCCATCTGTTCACATCCTTGTTGACCATCAAGAACCCTACCTTCATGTGAAATGTCAGCCCACTTGACTTTTGGGGGGCCTTAACAGCCTTTAGGGGTCAAGCAGGTACTACACTAATTTTGTATATTATGTCAGGAATTTATTGGTGCAAACTTGTAAACCTATATGTTGGCTTGAAGCATATTATAGCCCACATCATTTTAGTTTTTTGCAAGTCTCTACCATTTCCCTATAGACTTCCATCAGGGACTCTGGAAGCAATTTGATAAAATATGTAAATTGTTATAAAATCCAATGTTAAGAAGGGATGACAGATCAAATGCCACAGTAGGCGCCTTTCATGCATATAGTATTGACTGGAAGATTAAAGGGAGAAGCTGAACAATTTAAATCCTAGGGTCCATTGTTACTTCTGTGTATTTGCCATTCAATGGCGGTCTAAAATATTTTATGCGGCTTTAAATTGCACTTATTGAGGAGCACCTGTAATTTAAGTGACTCACACATGTTGTAAATTATATATGTTTATTATAAATGCCTAGTAAGTAAAGGCAGCGCCTTATTTTGCTCTCTTAACTCTGGAACATAAATTGTGTTTCTGCTCATGCTGTTTATAATGCTTACATTTACAGTATTTAATGTATTAATGTATATAGCAACAGCAAATTCTTCACTGATTTACAGAGAACACCCATGTGAGCTCCTACCCTCAAAGCAGCTAATGTAGCTATTGTAGACGCAAACCAGTGCCAATTTGAGTGGAAACCGATTAACCTCCCTCTATGTTTTTCAGCTTTAAGGAGGAAAAAAAAAAGATCTACACTGGAACAACACATGGGGTCTATTCACAAAAGGGTGAAGAGTTTGGCGGAATGGACTAAATAGGCAGAGTCAGCTGTCAATCCCGCAGCTGGGTGGATCTCGACAGTAATGTCAGGATCCGTTCTGGCTGCGGCGTCTCAGTATACCCCTCGCGGTATACTGAGCTTTGGGAACGCTAGTTTGTGTTCTCCCGTGACCCTTAGGAGAACTATGGGGAAAAGCCCATAGTTCTCCTTTAAAGTGATATTAAAGTCAAAATGTTTTAAGCCGTATCAAATGCTGATTAAATCACTTACAGTAGATGCTGCTCCTTGTTGTTTAAATGTTTTAGTTTTCTGTAGCACTGCCCTGATATCCTTCTGTATGGTGGCTCCTTTCAATTCCAGGGTCCTATAGAGCCACCCTTGTATGTGCTAGTAAGCTTTGTGTGTCTCCACAAACACACAGACACAGCAAGGCAAGCCACTTCTCTGCCCTCTGCACTTCTCTGAGAAAATGTGAGTGATGACATCGCTGGTGTCCACATATTAATCATAGATTTACAGGTATAAAATCATAACTCATAACAGAAGTTATAACAAGAAATATAAGAATGTATTTCACAGTCATTTCTTTTGTGTGTGATATATATATATATATATATATATATATATCATTCATCAATGTGTTCTATATTTGTTTTGCAGGTCTGATGCTTGTCTGTTCATTATCTAAAGTGTTAGCGTGAAGATTCAGAAGAGTTGATTGGACGATGCCTTCTGAGATATGCCTCAGGTAAATGTGCTTTGCACTTCTCTCCAAAATCTCAAAGCTTGTCATTCTCATTTACAGTGAACTTAATTGAAACCTCTTTCAGGTTAGTCAGGCAGATGTGAACTGAAAGCCTTGCCTGTTTTGCTTGGTTTAGCACTAGAAAACAAACTTGTAGCATGCTATTGTAACAAATAGTATCCTTGTTAAATTACCAATATTGCCCCACTGACAGCATGGAAAACTCCCAGCTTCCCATGCTATTTTTATTTTTTCATTCATTTAAAGTGACATTGAAGTTACTTTTTTTTAGCCCATTCTGCTTTTAATACTTACCTTAAGTGATGCCTCTTGATCCGATCATCTTCTTCCTTCCACTCCTTTTTTAGCAGTCCCTCCAGCGCTGATGCCGGTCTCTGATCCAGCACAGACTGCTGTTTCTTCCTGTCCTACGGTGTCTGTCCAACATGCACGCTCCCGGCTGCGTGCATTGACTTACAGTGAGTCTCTCCTCTTCCCCTCCGCCGGTGATCTCCTGCACCTGGCTGTTCGGGTCTGTGTTCTTCAGCTGGGAGCGTGCGGCGTGGACTCGGGTAAGTATTTAGTATTTGGCCCCTTTTTTATTTTTTTTTTAATGCTGTGGCATATATCTACTGCTTGCTAGCAGTAGATATATGCAAAAAAAAAAAAAAAAACTTTAATACTACTTTAAACTATGCAAACAAAGTGGGACTTATTTAAATGTTTCTAGGTCTTGAATTATTATATTCACCTTAATAAGATAGCGAATGGGGTAGAAGGGGCTTATTTAAAACGTTTTGTTTTTTTTGCATTTTCTCAAGCAGTGTGTTGTGGCACCCTGGTATGTCTTCTAGCTTCCTCAGGGGTGCCTCAAACGTTTGTGGTAGTGGGACCCTGATGTGAAGGTGGGGAAATTGATATGAAAGAGGGGCTTCTGATGTGGAAGAGCAGCTCCTGATTTGAAGGGTTGACTTTGATGTGAAGGGGGGATCTTGTTTTGAAGGGGGTCCCCCTTGAAATCTATGACATTAGACTTTTGAATTAATTTTAAAGGGTGCCATGACTGAAAAGAGGCTGTATTAGAGCACACTGGACTTAGGGGCTTTTGAGATGCTCTACAAGCTATAGTATATGAGCATATACACAGGTATCTTGAAGTGCCTGCTTTTCTATCAGATATTTAGAAAATGTAAATGCAGTTATTTATTACAAACATGCAGACTCCTTGCAGATTGTGACCTGGCCAGGACTCAAACCAGGAACCCTCTGTGCTGCAAGACAGAAGTGCTAACCACTACACCACTTTGCTGTTTTGCTTTAACATACACAGTAATCATGTACGCTGTGTGATCTGAGGCAAAGCAGGTACACACAATACAAACTCAAAATTTTTGAATATTAATTAGTATGGCAGTGGAAAGATGGGCATCCTGAGTTTAAAACTTCACAAAAAGACTTCTGGGATGAACATGTTAAAAAATACCCAATCTTGGGATGATTTTTGTTGTGACTGAAGTTATATTTAAGTTCTTTAAATGAATAGAGAGATACGAATATAATGACTCGAAATCACTAGGCCCTTGTATCTGTTTCCCTATATCATATCATAATACATGTATTATTTGTCATAACAGTTGTTCTTTTCAGTCCTGTGATTGTTCATTTCAGCTCTTTTTGGCTTTTAATTTCTGTAAATAACAATTGTTATAGCATATATTATCACTGCAACAGCTACAAAAGTTGCGTGGGGATCCTTGTGTAATAAGCAATTTCTTACTCTCAAGTAATCACTGACACCATTGATCCATTTGCTATCTGTAAAGGGGGGAAATTATCCTACTGACCACCAATGTAAGGGGTATGCTACCCACTGATCACCAATGTAATGACGCTGCATTCTGATTACCACCAGTAAAGGGGCCCCTTTTCACTGACCACCACTGAAGGGGGTCCTTCTCCACTGACCGCCTATATAAAACCACTATTATAAGAGGGCGTGTCACTGAATATAAATATAAGTGGACATTTTTTCACAGACCACCAGTGTGGGGGAACACCACAATTTCCTCTGTCTACTTTTCTTTTCTGCCCATTATTATTATGTGTTTCATTTTATTTTTATTACTGAAAATTATTTTCTTGTAAAGAGCAGCCCTAATGTCTCAACATACTGTGCATTCTAATAAACCATAAGCTGTACTAGGGGTTCCCTGAAAGCTGAAAGATATTACAAGAGTTTCTTGATGTTCAAAAGGTTGAGAAAGGATGAACTATAGCTTAGTGAATTGAGCTATGGTCTGATATTTGTATTATTATAGAACAGTGTTCCATAACTTCAAGTTCCCTAGTACAACAAGTCTTTTATTTAGGATTCACCTTCGTGAGAACAGCTGTAGTTTTATTGATGTCCCAGTAACTCAGATTAAGTCACCTGGTCAAGGTGACTGAAATCCTAAAAACAGGATGAAAAACCATGACATGTTGGGGGTACCCAATGATCAGACTTAAGGGATGTTCTTTCAGGCACAGAAAGTAATTTTTTTAACCAGGCTATCAAGCTAGTTGTCTTCCCTTTCTAGTAGATCCCTAGTATAATTAAGCAAGCAGGTATATCTAAAGAAGGCTTGTCTGAATAGCCTCAAGACCTGTCCAGTTACTGTTCTCCTAATATTCCTTTGGCCAGTGGTATTTGACAGTAAATGTCTATAGGTATGAGAAATTGGCCAGAAGAGGTGTGGACCATTTAAATTATATGACCACCTTTTAGAACATAGTTGCCAATCCAATATTACCCACCAGCAGAATAGTTTAGTCATAGATTAAAGAGTTAATAGCTGCTTGGTTTTGATTTGTTACAGAATATGAATTCAGTTAATTATTTTTTTACTTTCACAAAGTTTTTATTACATTTTTGACAAGACACAGAGATGGAATACGCAATGCATCTCATATGACAAGTAGGGTTACACAGTCAATAAAGGTCATGTACCAGTACAGCAGTGGCTTTTATGACAAATCAGACATATCAGATGCTCACAAAGGGACAAAAATGAACATTACATAATCCGCTCATAATAGCAGTACTAGGAGACAAAAAAGAGGGGGGAGGGGTAAAAGCATAGAAAAGAAAAGGAGTAGAAAAAGATCAGAGAGGCATCCAGGACACGGTGAATAAAAAACGGTACTGCAACAGAAATGCTTGGTTAAGGAGTCTCAGAGATGTGCAAGTATTGCATCCATGGGTCCCATACCTTTTCAAATTTACCTTGCGTATCCTTGAGGATGCTACACAGCTTTTCATGTACCATTAGCCACGACAATTAAGAAACGACCTGTCTGAATGGAACTGTCTGGCATTTCCAGGCCTTTGCCAAGGACATTTTTGCAGCCAGAACAACCGTAATTCGTTTTGGGACCTGTATAAACCGGGGACTGAACGATTCAATAAAACATACAGTGGGTCACGGAGTGGTCGGATCCGGAGTACCTTAATTCAGTTTATTTAAAGGCTAATTCTGTTAATGAAATTAGCACATTTATGTTTTAAATGCTTGATGATTAATATAATTAAATCAAGGTCATGGCTAATTTGCCATTATTTTGCACGTTATTAGAAATGCAACCACATGTTTGATATTTATGGAGAACTGTTTAAAGGAGAATAAAAAGAAGTGTGTCAGAACAGGTAATAACTTAAGGTGGTATTGTGTGATTTTCGTTCAAAATTTTTAGTTCCTGGCATACACCATCGTTCGATTATCCCTAGACTACCCTATCAAGCATAGTCAAATGTTGATTTCGGAAATCGTTCATTAGCCATACTAACCAACCAATTTTTGCCGAACGACAGAAATAATTTCCTTTTGAGCATGTGCTGTGTTCTTGCAGATATTTTTGAGGAATGAAAACCCCATTGATTCATCGATTTTTTTTTTTTGTTCGGACAGAAACATTTTTCACAATCTGACTGAACGAAACATTCCGATCGCAATATAGAAAACGAAAATCGGTGACGCACTGTTCAATGTACTATTCAATTTTTGTTAAAAAGACAGTTTGCGTACGATTTCCGAACAAAAATTGCAGTGTATGGACACCTTAAGAACACTATGACATGTGTGCAGCAACAAAACACGCAGGGGTTGATTTTACTATCAGCAAATAAGCTGTTTACTTCACAAGGGAATTTTCAGCTTAGATCAGTGAATGAGGTGACAATTCACTGTGCAAGGAATACCCATTTACAAGCAAAGAAAAAAAATTAACTAAACAGTATTTTTGCTTGCACATATTTGGATCATGGATGTCAGGAGAGCTTCACCACATTCACTGAGCTAAGGGAGAATGACCTTGCAAAATGGACAGCCTGTTTGCCTTTTGTAAGTCAACCCCAGAGAGTGAAATTCAATAAAAACAAGCCAGAGCTCGGGGGCTCTGGGTATAACATGTTATAACTCTAAAAAAAACAAACAGATTACCTTTGCAATAAATAATGGTATATTATTGACATCAGTTTATTTGACTGACAAGAGCCAGCTTATCGCTTCAGTTATCTTCAAGAGTATTCCGGGAACCTCAAAACCTGGGATGTTCTGATATTGAAATGCCAACTTCATCTAGAAAGTTGGTGTTTTTCGACCCCTTCAATTCTGTGCTTCACCATCTGTGAGGCACCCTTCACATTTATGGGTCAGGAGTGGTATATGTGAGGTGATGGGGTGAAGCACCTGCTTCTTAGTTGAAGCTGGTATTTGCTGCTTAACCTCCCCAAGAGTTTTTAGTAGCGTTGCAACACCTACTGTAAATTATTATACTACCTTAGATTAACCTGCTGTATATTGACAAGTATGAGTAAGAGAAAAGAATAGGCTTACAGCTGGCTTTAATATCCCTAGTATTTGCGAATCATTATTGGAACATCTGTGAAAAATAAGTCAAGGCAACTGGACTTGCTGTATTTTTCTTGGACGTTTAACTGGCAGTCTAACCAGCTTTCTCAATTCAGAATCTGAATTGAGAAAGCTGGTTGGATGACCAGTGAAACGTCTTCAAGAAAAATACAGCAAGTCCAATTGCCTTGACTTATTTTTTACAGATATACCATGACCCGGATGAATGAGAACCTTCACAGACATTATTGGAACAATTCTTAGGAATTATTTAAAATCTTGACTTTGAAAGTGTTCTCATTTACTTTACTGATTTGGAAGCTGTAACATTTTAAACATCTGGGTTCAAATTTACAATTCAGTAAATAAATACTAATATACCTGCACTGCACTATTGAATTACAAAACCAAAAATACTGCACAAAAGTGAAAACTTCCTGGTTGCGGGGGAGGAGATTGAGGGCAGAGAGCCATAGGCTCATTTTGCCGTCAATCAACCTGTGGGGCAGAGAGGAGGGGCGTGGCCTGCCTCAGGGCTGTGTGTGTCTATGGACAGCCGGGTACGAGCACACATGAGTGACTCCACAGCAGCCGCTTAGCTGTTGTAGGCACCCATGTGGTGGGCGGTGGAGACAGTGATGTGGGCCCACTAGAAAACGAGGACCTGAAACATTTAAAACACAACAAACCTGCATATTATCTGTGCCTCCCTTCCATACAAATAAAAAGAGCAAGGTTTATTGTAACTTTAACGTCCAAGGAACCCATTTTTATTTTTGCATAGGAACAAGGTGGGATTTAGGCCTAAAACTTCTGGGTTTTATAAAGGGCAGGTGGCCTATAGCTGTAGAATGCTATGCTTTTCTTGGTAGCTGCATTTTTTTGCATAGGGACAAGGTAGAATTTAGGCCTATGTTTTTTAGTACCCAGTGTGCATTGCCATCCCTGCCATGTTTGCTACACCAGGACAAGGATAGCTTTACAAGTAAAACAAAACCTCTAAAGTTAAATAAAATACTGTATATAAAAACATTTGTAAATAAGTAAAACTTCTAATTTGAAAAATAATTGTATATACCAGCTATAAACACAATAGACAGTCCATGACAGTCAATGTCCTACCCCAGACTGCATCTTGGATCTTTTTTTTTTTTTAACTACTGAAGGAAGATTTAAGGAAGGACAGCAGCCTAAGGCTGCTTTTTTTTTTTTCTTTTGCTGCTGTCTGTCCTTCCCCCTGCATTGTAGAATGGGCAAGCAGCTTCTTTCTTTTTTGCATAGTGACGAGGTGAAATTTAGGCCTAAAAAAACCCTTCCTTTTTTTAAATGTAGTATTTAGTGTGCAATGCTGTCCCTTCTGTGTTTGCTTAGCAGGGTAGCAAAAGCCTAACTGACAAACAGACCGTTTAGACAAAAAAAACCCCTGAAAATAAAGGGGATTTCCTAAATGTAAAAGCAGCTATTGCAATATAAAAGATTCACCCGGAGAGTCTAGGTTTTGAATGCTGTGTCCGGGTTTCATGGCAGCAGAAACCCAGACACAAGATATCAGGCAGACAGTGGCAACCAAAATTAAGATAGGGGCTACTGGCCCCCCACTGAAAATAGTCTCAACTGTGATAATTACATATGAATGGATGGAGCTATTTACATATGAATAAGCCACGACTCATTCTCAAAAAAAAAAATGTCTGCGCTTCGCTTGAGTGTTCGGGTTTTGCTTGAAGAAAAGGTGGCCCTAGTGCACAACACTAAAGTATGTGATAACATGCTGCAAACAAAGGGCAGCTTTGCCGGCATCAGTAAAACGTATACGCGAAAGACCCCAAAAATAAACTATGCATTCCCAAAACAAACCCTGATTTAGGGAAGGATAGGCAGCCTATGATCACACTTTTTGCTAGTACCGCCCCTTTGGCCTGGCCAAAGGATTTTCCACATCCGTTTTCTTCTGCCTTCTCCCTGCGTTGTGGAAGGGCGGGAATCCTATGGCTGTAGGTTTTCCCCTTGCAGCTATGCCTCTAGTATGGGAGATCCTGCCACCATTAGAAAAAGCAGATAAGAGTTTGTTCGCATTGCCTCCTAAAAGTGGGGCATTTTCAGCTCCCTCTAAGAGGGTGGCAGTAGTTCCTGTTGAAATATTTCTCTTGTGAAACGTCCCCCCTTGAAGCCTCCCAGCACATTTTCTCCTTATCACCAGCACTCCAACCCTGGAGTGCCGCTTAAGAGACTGAGTGTGGTTTCCACAAAATGTATTATACCTTAATTTTAATTTTATCACAAAAATAAACCCTAACTGGCAAAACAGCTAAACTTAACCCATCCCTCAATAAAACACTTTTACTGTATATGTAAGCCTAAACCTACCCGATAAACTAACTCTATACCTGATCCATACTGAAATATTACATCAATACCCATTATCAGTTGAACTATTTTACAGTACCAATAGTGTGCAGCAAGTTATATAGGAAATGACTGCTTCCTCACGAGCCTAATCACACAGGCATTTTGCTTTGTGATAGAATCCCTTAGTCTGCCTGGTTAAAGCATGTTTTTCACTTGAGCTTATGCACAGTAATAGCTTAAATAAGATTTATATGCTCTCATCTGATTTCACAGTTCATTTTGGACAAGGTCACTATGAGTATGTATTTTAGTCTTAATGTAATGGCTTCAATCTAGTTTGCATATATTAAGATCTTTATATACAAAATGAGGATGCATGGGGCACAATGTCATAAGCAGATATAGGGGTCTATTCACTAAGCTGCAGTAGGCAGCCGAGTGAACAACCGACCCCAAGTGAAGTGAGCGGAACACTGTTCGGCTATTCACTTCAGGCTTGTACGGCTGATTTCAGCTGCATATCGGCTGAAATCAGCTGTACATCGGCTTGCTTTGCATTGCTTCGGGTCAGCCGAACATGCTCAGCATGTTCGGCTGACCCGAAGTGCAGAAGGAGTTCGACTCAGCCGATCCAACATCTGGATCGGCTGAGCCGAACCTCCGGCAGGCTACTCGCTGCTGTTCGGCCTATTCTTTTAGATGCCGAACAGCAGTGAGCGAATAGCCGAATGCCGCTGAGCGGCATTCGGCTGGGCTGTTTTGCTCGGTTCGCCCAGGAGAGAAACACTGCTTTTTAATTTTTTTTCTTTATTCTGACACGGAGCCGTGTCAGCATAGAAGAAAAAAAAAGAAGATTTTTGCCCATAAGAATGCATTGCTAGATTCCTATTGGCTATTTCAATTTGCAATAGCCAATACTAAACTAGCATTGTACCTGCCCTCTGCTGATGGACCTGATGGAGAACTGCAGCAGAAGGTGGGTACAATGCTAGTTTACTATTGGCTATTGCAAATTGAAATAGCCAATAGGAATCTAGCAATGCATTCCTATGGGCAAAAATTATTATTTTTTTTCTATTCTGACACGGCTCCGTGTCAGAATAAAAAAAAAAAAGAAAAAGCAGTGTTACTCTCCTGGTCGGCTGGGAGTGGGAGACTCCCGGAGCGCCAGGGAGAGTTAGCTGTCTGGAGATCAGTGTCCCTGGTTAGCAGGTAACCAGAGGCGCTGTTCTCTCTGCAAGTGGCCGGAGCCAGCCATAAAATCACGGCTGGCTCCGCCCAGCTGTCAGGAGCAGGCTGTCGGTCGGCCGCTCGGCCAGCTTCGGTTTTCAGCGTGGCCCAGCTGAGCCAAGGCATATGCGTTCGGCTCGACTGAGTCGCTCGGCCACATTCGGGAGCTGTACAGGCTATAGTGAATAGCCCGTACAGCACCCCTTCGGTTCTAGTGAACCGAAGGGGCCCTGGGGCCAAAGCTAGCCGAAGGATCGGCCGAATCTACGGCTAGATCCTTCGGCAGCTTTGTGAATAGACCCCATAATATCAGAAGTGCCTCTGATTTTACAAGGCTTATGGAAGACAATGCGTGACTTTCTTGTATATTAGCTAGATATGCTAATAAAACTAATACCATCTCATATTCTCCTTAGTAAATATATGGGGGATACACATTTACAAACAGTTTAACCAATGAAAGATCTCTATTCTGAAACAGGTACAGAGTTCAGTATGAGCAAAGCCTATAAGAACACACATTGATGTGACATAATGGTCCCACAGAGCTTTACTCTACAGTTAACAAAAAGAGTGCTGGCCAAAACCCTGACAGTGGTCTATGTAGATATATGGACCCCCCATTGTGTTCCTACTCCTATCAAGGCTGATAGCTGGTTAAAATCACCAGATATTGAGCAGTGTGTATGTTATATTTGTAAGTATTCTTAGGCCTGGATGTGATTACTACTGCACAAAAAAACTTAGTATATGCTGTTGGAAGCAAAAAAAATGTTTTCTATATATTTTCTTTATGTATTACAATGCTTTTGGTGTGTTGTTTGATCACAAATAAGCATATTTTATGTTTTACAGTATCCAAGAAATGCTTACGGGTCACAGGCATTGCCATTCTATGTCGCATAAAGATGCTGTCCTGTCTGCATTAAACCAACAAAGGAATGATGGCATTCTCTGTGATGTTACTCTCGTTGCTGAAGAGCAAAAGTTTCATGCCCACAAGGCTGTGCTGGCTGCATGTAGTGATTATTTTCGGGTAAGTCCTTACAGCTTTTTAACTTACACAATGTATGATTAATAAGGCAATATTAATTGTCAAATATTATCCTTATATCTTGTTTTTTTAATCTGAAATATATGAATACATTATATAAGGCTCATGCACATGGACACTTGGTGCCATACAACTTCAATTCAGATAAAGATCCCTGCCTGGGAGCCACAGGTGCTGTGTACAGTCATCCATAGAAATCGATGTATGCATGCGGGTATACGCCGGACTTGCATAAACATGCACAGACATACAACCCTGACTGCAGACAGTCAAGAGAGCCCATTCATTTAGTAAGTCAAATAAAGATTAGGAACTGCTTTTGCATTTTGGAAAACACCACATACAACATTGCTAAAACACTACGGCAATCAGCAAAACCGTGTTTATCTTAAAGTTTAAAATTGTGGTACAATTTAGCATCTTCTGAGTAGACCTTCAACTTCTTGCTATATGTTTCTGTGCTGTGCAACGTCCCTCTTATGCATCAATGTACAAGGTTGCAGTGTGTACAGAAGGAATGCAGTGTTGGACCCAAGGAACATACAGATGGACCTGCTTTTTCACAGGGAAATTTCAAGGTAATTCAGTAAATAAGGACAGCAGCATCAATAGGAATATATTGGAAAATGATGTCACTGATATGTTGGTTTGCAAAGCAACATGAGGCAGCCTAATAGACACCTAACCTTGCAAAACGTTTTGTTTCAAATCAATTTGTTCTTTTATTTTTTTTTCATTTTTCGGATTTCGGATCCGAAATTCGAATTCAGTTCGATATTCATTATTCAGATCTCGGATCCTTTTAAAATGTTTCCATTTTTTTTTGGGGTGGGGTTCTTTAATTATAAATTAACTTAATTCATTTTTTTTTTAAATGAGGTCCATACTGGTCCTCTTACACCGTACTGGTCATCTTAGTCCATACTGGTCATTTTAGTCTGTACTGGCCATCTTAGTTTGTACTGGTAATCTTAGTCTGTACCATCTTAGTTTAGTTTTGAACAAAATTCGGACGAAATTCAGAATGAAAATTCGGATTCATATTGGAATTCGGAAATGGCAATAATTTTCAAAAATGCCAATAATTTTCAACGCAGCTCATTCAATTTTTAAATCGAACAATCAAAAATGTTTCATTTTGTCAAGCCAGGTGGTACATGCAGGGCCACCTATGGCTTGCATTTTGGCCAATTCAGGAGCTGTCTATGGCCAACTTAAGTGTGCCTAAACCCTCCTTGCCCCCAAAGTCTGAAGCATGTTAGGATGAGAGTGTTATATAATGCAATAAAGCCTAATTTAAAAAAATGCTGGCACTCCTACTTTGTACCTAATTTCTGGTTTGCTGGGGACTGTGGGAGTTAATATAAAGATAATGACTATTATAAATGGTTACTGTCAATTGATTGATTGCTCATCCACTGTATAAATGCTGCAGATTTTTAGTGAATCCTGCAAACCAAAGTGCAAAAAGAATAATATTACAGTTCATTGTAATGCATGCAAATAACAGAGACATGTAGAGTGGTACCTCGGTTCACGAACGCCTCTGTTCACGAACAATTCGGTTCGCCACCAGGAAGTTTCTCAAAATTTTGCCTCCGTTCACTAACTCTGCCTTGGGTTATGAACACGACCGCGGCCATCTTCCCCGCTCTGACACATGGTCGTGGCTTCCTGTACTCGAGATTGCGGTCGCAGACAGGGCTGTGGACACTTACTGTGAAGCTTTTTTGTGTGCTTTGTAGAACAGTACTGTACAGTATTACTGTATTCATTCCAGCATGGCTCCCAAGAAAGTGTAGAGCAGGCATGGTGGGGAAAAAGAAAGCGCAGAGCATTAATGAAGGTGACAAGAATGTGCAGAGCGTTAATGAAGGTGACAAGAATGTACAGAGCATTAATGAAGGTGACAAGAATGTGCAGAGCGTTAATGAAGATGAAAAGAATGTGCAGAGCATTAATGAAGGTGACAAGAATGTGCAGAGCGTTAATGAAGGTGACAAGAATGTGCAGCACGTTATTGAAGGTGACAAGAATGTGCAAAGCGTTAATGAAGGTGACAAGAATGTGCAGAGCAAGAATGGTGGTAAAAAGAAACTTGTGGCTAAATTTTTTTCCCCATATGGTTCAGAACGGATTAACCTGATTTACATTGAACCCTATGGGAAAATGTGATTCGATTCACAACCAATTCGGTTCGCGACCAGAATCGTGGAACCAATTAAGTTTGTGAACCGAGGTACCACTGTATTTGTAGGACTGCATCCCCTTTTTTTTTCTATGGTAATGATTTTAACGTGCCTGTTAATATACATTAAAAAAAACTTAAGGGAGAGTACATTGTACAACCATACAAGAACAGTAAACCTAGTAACGTTATGTTAATGCTATGCATTCGATGAAAAGCATTTCAATGAGAAAATGTTAGTGTCTAAGAAAGAAATTGCCTAGCGTGCCAATCTCTAAAGAATATAGAGACATACACTTACATGAATTGTCATGCAGTTGGGAAAGTGCAATAAAATTAGTGATTTATCTGAAAATGAATGGCTGCAAGACAAAGGAAGTACAGAGCAGATTATCAGGATGTCAAACTCATTGACTGGAAAGCTAAGATATCTGTAGTTCTCCACAGAGATACTACATTTCATTTCTAACATTTACCAATTTATAAACCTGTTGAACTCTGGGAATTAGTGAAATTGTACTCCTACAGTTGGGCCCCACTGCACTGCAAGTGTTAACTGCAGGTTAAAGCGGACCTTTATCCCCTTTCACTAAAAATCACATCAGCATGCAGCTCTGCATGCTGATTTAGAAATATCTTACATTCATTAGTTAAACAAACTTGTTTTTCATTTACTTACAAATAGAGTTTATCTACTTCCTGGTCCTGTTCTGGAACAAATTATGTAATGTGCCAAAGCATTGCATCCTGGGAAGGTTGCATCAGCAGAGCATTGCTGGGAAATCTCATCTGTAATCCCATGAGATCTCAGGGAGAGACATTTTCCTCGCTTGAGATGATGTGCATGATCAAATGTCTAGTCAATATGTGTCAGATTTCCAGGAGGTAAAGGGAGAACTAGTAATCTGCCCTAAGTTAACTTGGGGCGCGGGGGAGGGGTAGGGGTTGTGTACTGCTCTTTTTCATGTAATTAGACAAGTGGATTATAATGGGGAATATTACACTGTAATGTTCCCTATTATAATCTATTTCTCTGATTAAATGATTACAGACAGGCCTCTGTTCTATCAAAGTTTGAGACTACGTTAGAATGTGTGACCAGTGACGTGGTCATACGTTTTAACGTAATCCCGCCCAGTTTTTCGGCGGTGGAATAGGTGAAGCATTCCAACGCTTTCTCCGCTGTTCCAGGACAGGTCGGCATCGCAAATCGCATGTGCAGGAGAACCGATCTGCCCGGAAACAGCTGATCGGTCCTGAAATGTCACTTCCATCCGACTTTGTGAGTGCGGTGGAATGTGGGATCGCAGTCGGAAAGTAGTGACATTTCAGGACCGATCAGCTGTTTCAGGGCAGATCGGTCCTCCTGCACATTCGATTTGCGCTGCCGATCTGCCCTGGAATAGCTGGGAAAGCGCTGGAATGCTTCAGCTACTGGTGGTCACACATTCCACCGCCGAAAAACTGGGCGGGATTACGTTAAAACGTATGACCACGTCACTGGTCACACATTCTAACGTAGTCACAACCTTTGATAGAACACCGCCATCAGGGGGTATGTCCGGTACCCATGTGAGGGTTCTGGGGGGCATCTTACATGGGTATCAACTGTACTGGGGTGTCATGGCAGAGGTGACAGGGGAGGGGGTGGAGGAGGCTGGGCCCCAGCAGCAGCAGGTCCGATCCGCTCCCGCGCCCCCCCTCTGTCTTGGGAGGGGGGCCCAAGATAAAATCTTGCACCAGGGCCCTTTGGTTATTAGGTCCGCCACTGTTCAGAACTGCTTATACACTTGGATACAGCTTGTGCATTGCATACATAAATAGTAGATGGACATCATCTCAGTTTTGTGGTGTGTGTGTGAGATTAAGTCCACTGCCTTCTATTTTAAATTGCAATAGCCAATAGCAGACTGGCTATTGCATCTGCCCACTGCCTGCTGTCAATCAGCAGAGGAGCGGACCTAAAAGATAACTTTTTCTCTCAGGTCCACTCCTCTGCTGATTAACAGCAGGCAGTGGGCAGGTGCAATACTTTCCTTGCTGACTGGAAGTGGTAAGTCTGCACCCTATGACCCTATGAAGTGTTTAAAATATTTTTAGTCTTGAACAAAATAAAAAATAAATATGGCTGCATATTTCTTATGTCTTGTTTCTGGAAATGGTTCATATGATTATTATTTTTTTCATCCAGGCAATGTTTAGTCTATGCATGGTGGAAAGTGAAGCCGATGAAGTTAACTTGCACGGTGTGACCAGCCTCGGATTAAAACAAGCCCTGGATTTTGCCTACACTGGGCAGGTACTGTACACAGTTAGTAACATCTAGCAAATCGCTGTACATGCTTACAGACCACACAGTACTACGGACTTGGTATTTTAGAAATCACATTGCCCAGAGTAGAACAGAATGTGTTCTTTGGTACAAACATCACCCCCTTTGTTATCAACCATAGTTAAACCAAAATGTGTAGCTGGAATGGCAAGAGACCCAGCTTAAACTGCATGCAAAGCCAAAAATTGTAATGAAGTGTAAAAACCCCGTCAGGTTTTATTGCTTTTCGTGTCCCCCATTGGAGACCATTATCTCAAGTACAAAAGGTTTTATAGTCTGACAGGAACAGGAGGTGAGGGAAATCTTCCAATGGGGGCACCTGTTGCTGTGAAAACTGTCTGAGAGGGTATTTCCCCTCACTTTGCCGAGATTTTTTCTCATGTCCTGTTGTATCTCTGGGACATGAAGTGAAGGGAAATCTCCCAATAGGACAATAAATAAATAACTTTAAAAAAAATGACAGGGGTTTTAACCATCCTCTACCTTATCCAAAACAGTAAACATGAACTTTGGGCTTACATAGACTTTTTGCATACACATTATCCACCACTGCCAATGTCCTACACTGGGAAAATGCAAATTTAGGATTGTACTAAAAGCTCACTGTACACTTTTACAATCTGACCACACAAATGTCTTAAAATCCATGAACAACTATGTAGTACAAGGGCATGCCTGATTGGATGCAAATTGATGGCATAGCTTTAGTGGGTCTTCAATTATACAGTATTGTATAGAGCATATGTTAAACTTTTAGCACAATCCTAAATTTGTATTTTCTGCAAATGTATGTAAAAAAACCCCAAAACAAATAAATATATATTTTAAAAAAATAGAACTAAAAAAAATATATATATATGGGACTAAACATATTGATATTTTGTTTAGGACCCCTTGCACGCAGGTAAAAAGATGGATCTTAGCAAAATGCTAAATTTGTATTTTCTGCAAATGTATGTAAAAAAACCCCAAAACAAATAAATATATATTTTAAAAAAATAGAACTAAAAAAAATATATATATATGGGACTAAACATATTGATATTTTGTTTAGGACCCCTTGCACGCAGGTAAAAAGATGGATCTTTAGTGGCAGACAGGATCAAGGAAGCCTTAATAGGCTGCCTCAATGCATCACAATGCATTGTGGTGCACTGCAATGCAGATGTGTTGGGGTGTAATTTAGTGAAAAGGGCCCATAAAATGTGAAAGTCTCAATAAAAATGACTATAAGGTATACTCCAAAACTTTGGTGTTCAGCATATAGTGTGTGCATTTTATTCTCCTTTTTTGGTCCTTTCTACAGTAATGAAAGTGCAATTGATGGTGAAAAATGGTGAATTGTATATGCCTTTAGTATATCCAGATTTTTATGCATTTTCCTTTACACCAGAAATAGAATTGGTATTTTTATTATTTAGCCTATGGCGCCATCTAGTGACTAATATGTAGACTTCCAGCAACTTGATTTTAGACACATTTTTACCCATTGTATTACTAACAAATATACTGTAATTTTAGTATTGCTATGATTTATTTATTACTATAAATGTAAATATTGAATTTTATTTCTGTTGATAACAGTATACATTTTGATAATCGTATACATTTGAAAAACATGAAATAATATTTTATTACAATATATGTAAATATCGCAAACATTCTTGCAGTGCTGTTCTTCCTGATTTACTAATATGAAATGAGGTGAAGTAAATACAAGCAGCCATTGCAGGGGAATTAGCTTTTCTTGCACACGGTTGCTTATTTATGTGTTGGAGTACAATATATATATATATATACACATACTGGTTGCCAGTATATATGTCTCCTGGCAACCAGTGACATCAGTGAGCTGGAAGGGACACCAGACAGAGGTACCGTGCAAGGAGGCCAGTAGATTGCCAAGATGCATAGCATTGATATTTAGTGACTAAGTTATTTATTTATTTTAACTGCACTTGTTATTTTATTAGATTCTCCTGGAACCCGGAGCAATTCAAGACGTACTGGCTGCTGGTAGTCACTTACAATTACTCGAGCTCTTGAACCTCTGTTCCCAGTATCTTATCCAGGTAGGAGTCTTATAATTATACCTAACATTTAAAGAAAACATGTAACAGAAAAATCTGCGTAATTGTATGGGCTCTGTAATTCAAAATCATACAAAATAGATCTAAAAAAAGCATGGTCCTCAAGGATTTTCCCTTTAGTAACTGTGTGGGCTGGGTAATTGCAGCCTTTTTGCTACCTGAGTGTAAAGTGGTGCATCCCTCAAAAAACAAACAAACTATCAATGTTATTTTCTGTCCCTAAAACCAAGGTTGAGTACTGTCACATAACTAATCAACAGCCACAGCGTGGCTCTTTAACAGCTTGACAGGTACTCGGGATACTAGCAGAGAACACATTGCTACCGACTGTGCTATTTCTAGTACTATTTCTATAGTAATATTTCTATCAAGAAGGCATCTCAGTCTCACTACTTTATAGTGACAAAGACCTTGTGCTTGGGTTCTAGTGATTTGTTCCCATATGCTTTCTGGTATCCAATATTTTTTGTTCCTGTATGTTTCTTGGCATCTAACATTTTTGTTCCCATTTCAGGCTCATTGATTTTTGTTCCTGTAATTTCTCAGGCATCAAGGGTTTTTTCATTATTGTCCATATGTCCTGCCTATTTTTTTCTTATGGTGTTTGTTGTTGTTTCCCTATGCTAATAATACTGTTATTTTGAATATCCATTGTTGGTATTGTGGTTTTATTATTATCACTATGTATGGACACTGTAAAGTCATAGAATATGCTGCCCACCACTCTACAGTGGCCCTCAAAAGCAGTAATATTTTGTGCAAGCAGCTGTGTAATGCCCATTTTATTGTGCAGTACAATGAACTGTAGTTATGTGGTGGAAAAGGTATGGGTTCATGAGTGCAAATGCCAGATATATATTGATGGTACTTGGATCTCAAGTAATTTGCTTTGAAACATGGGATATATGAATAAACACATTTGTCACACAATTACTGGGGAGACATTGCAAACCACATTTGCCTTATCATTCCCCAAAATCAATGTGTTAATGGTGCAGGCTGTAACATTCCCCTTATTTATACCTGAATTAGATTTACATTTTTAGCATGTTCACCAGTCTCCTTAATTCCAAATTCACCATGCGGATAACCCAATGATTGCTTATGGTGGCTCAGAGTCCATAGTGCTGAAACAATTTTTTTAACATTTTATTTTAGTTCCTTTATTAACTTTCTGTAAAAAATGTAAGAATAAATGACCTACCAGTCCAGCACCCTAGGCATATAGGCTAGTATCCCTATGGCTCTGAGACAGCAAGTATTCGGCTCTATGGCATGTGAAGCTGGCCTGCATGCCATTGAGCATTGCCATTGAGCATCTGAGGGGATGGCCAAAGGGGGTATCCGAGAAATGGGATACCCTTCCCAAGAACCGTTGTTTGCTGCTTATAGATAGTAGACTCTCAGGAGGTAATGCTGCGATCAAGTGCACTTATGTACAACCTACCTCACTGTGCCAACTACTGTCTGGTGAAGTGATAGAAAATAAAAATTTTACGACTTTAAAATATATTCATATGTATCTAACGTTCTTCAGCATGTCTTCCTTAGTTCTGCCTAGGTTTCAGATAAAGGAGCAAAACTTCCTTCTCTTTCCACGTTTCCACTGGGGGAAACGGCGGTAGCTGAACTTGAAGGGCTTCTGTACTTCTGCTGTGAACTTTGAGAATGAATTGCTCCACAGTGCCTGCATAGTTTAGAGGGGGCTTGTTTTAAAACTAATTTACTGCTTGTAAAAATATGTAAATGTTCGAATGTTCATAGCTTGGCCACTGATTCACATAAAAGGATTAAATATGCACAGTGGGCTGCCGTTGACCTCCTTCTAAAAATAAGTAATATTTATTTATGACAGATATTTATATAGTGCCGACTATGTACGCAGCACTTTTACATTAGCCCCTGCTCTCAAGGAGCTTAGCCCTCGTTCACACCTGAACGTTTTGTAGTGCGTTCTACGCTCGACGAACGCTCTACAAAACGCTCAAAAATGTAAATCCCATTGTATTCAATGGTCTCGTTCCCACCTTGGCGTATTTCCGTCCGTCCCTAACGCGCTACAAAACGGCCCACGCCTGAAAAGGTACATGTCCTACTTTGGGCCGTTTTGTTGCGCGTTTCCATTGGGATACAGCCAAGTAGCCTTCGGAAACGCGCGTTTGTCACGCAACTTTTTTCTGCGAATCGCGATAAATATGCACAGTGGGCTGCCGTTGACCTCCTTCTAAAAATAAGTAATATTTATTTATGACAGATATTTATATAGTGCCGACTATGTACGCAGCACTTTTACATTAGCCCCTGCTCTCAAGGAGCTTAGCCCTCGTTCACACCTGAACGTTTTGTAGTGCGTTCTACGCTCGACGAACGCTCTACAAAACGCTCAAAAATGTAAATCCCATTGTATTCAATGGTCTCGTTCCCACCTTGGCGTATTTCCGTCCGTCCCTAACGCGCTACAAAACGGCCCACGCCTGAAAAGGTACATGTCCTACTTTGGGCCGTTTTGTTGCGCGTTTCCATTGGGATACAGCCAAGTAGCCTTCGGAAACGCGCGTTTGTCACGCAACTTTTTTCTGCGAATCGCGGTAAAAAAACGCGCGACAGACGCGCATATGCAATACGCCTAGGTGTGAACGAGACCTTACAGTCTAACCAGGGGCCCCAAGCGCTGCAAGGCAGAAGTGCTAACCACTACGCCACTAAACTGCTTCAGAGCTGTATGATATTGGAAGAGCAAAAGTGATAAAAGCAGGTCCTCATGCAAAACAGACTTTCCCCTGATAGTCAAAAAAGCTATTTAAAAAAGAAAAATAGTTGCACGCTCACTACATACTCTATGAAGAGATTTTAATGTAGCAAATGAAAATCAAATGAAATAAAAAAGATACAAGTCAATACAAAACAAAAAAATAATGACAGTAATCAGAATTTACCTTGATGCTGGCATCTACAGTGTATAATAAAAAGATATTGCCCAATGACCCGTAGGAAGCATGCAGATAAGGAAAGGCAGAGTGAAGTCAGGACTCTTAAGCTGCATATTTGTTCCAAGTCTGTGACTGAAAGTTTTGAAGCCATTTGATCAACATGACAACCAGTAAACTAGCAATGGGAAGGGTGTTCATGTTCCTCCTTCAGCTTCTTATTTTAAACACTGTAGTGCTTAGCAGAAATAATACAGTGAATCACCTGTGCCTACCACTATTGTAAAACAAATACACATAAAAAAGTTAACAAATAAGTGATGCAAAAAAAGGCTTTAAAAATAAATATTTTTGTCTTTCATTAATTCCTCTTCACGTACATTTAGTCTTCACCCAAGATTGATAACACACTTACCATTTTATTTTCCATTCTATTATGGAAAGGCAAATGAACATGTGTATAACCTTGAGGCCACAAATCCTGTTAATCGGAATGCTCCTGATGAGATACTCTTCACTATTAACCAAAGGTCCGTATACAATTAGAGGTTTGCGTTCATGCAGCTATATATGCTTCTCCTCATTTGTACCTTCATTCATGTATCAGCCTTCTAAAAGAAACAAATTGAAATCCACAGATTTAATAGATCACAAATGTTAAAACAATAGCAATTCACAATAGTACTTCCGCTCTCTCTATAGCCCTATCCCTGCGGCTAGTCTTTGCTGTATACATAGACTGCAATGCTGCCTCAGGTGGACAGAAGCTACGCCCACAAATGATGCCACCAATCTCCACCCCAATGCATCTCTTCCCGATTGGATTTTGTCAAGGGTACATCTAGATCACTACACAGATCTTTCTTATAGGAAGCGTCTTATCATACCACTATAGTAGCACTTACATAATCATTGCACTGAAGCTAGAAGAACATATGGGAAACAAGGAAGAGACAAACAGGATGTCAAACTGGCAGGAGGAAAAAGAAAAAGTAGAAGGGAGATGTATGGATGGAATTTTTTATTTAGGTAAGGCTAGATTAAATAAGGAGGAAAGTAATTAATTTGGGATTTAAATGTGCCCCTAAGAATGCTTTGGATACATTTGTGTACATAGATGTACATAAATACATAAGAAAGCTTAACATAACTATTTTCTAGGCAATCCTGTTCAGCAGAAAACTTCTTATTGCATACAGACATTTAGTTAAAGTGATATTAAAGTCAAAAGGTTTTTAAACTGTATCAAATGCTAAATATATAACTTTTAATGGATGCTTCTTCTTGATGTTTAAAAGTTTTAGCTTCCTGAAGAATCAGCTGGTCATCCTGTTATAGGGTGGCTCCTTTCCCTTGCAGGGTCCTATGGAGTCACTCTTGTGTGTTTCAGTAAGATGTGTGTGTCTTCACAAACACACAGACACAACAAGGCAAAACACTCCCCAGCTCCCTGCTCCCACTTCCTATTTTCTCCAAGTGAGTAGATTGACAGCTGCTTGAGACTTATCTGTCCCTTGTGATCGTGTACTGGACAGGAAGCTCAGGGAAGCTGAGCTAAGAGAATTGGAGTCAGCAGAAACATGATGGCTGTAAGTGTTTGGGAAAAAAAATACTTTGCTGGGAAATCTGAATTAATTATGGAAAAAAAAGTTTGAGTTTAATATTACTTTAACATTTTCCCATCCGGAGCTTAAAATTCCCATCCTAAAAAACAGCTTAAAATTGCCATATAATTACAGTATATATTTTCTGAAAGCAGAGGTCCTGTAGAATAAAGAAAATGCTAGTTGCAATTTTATATGTTGCACAACATTTGCGGAAATGTTAACAAACCAATATTTTTTAGGATAAAATACACTAAAATTAATTTTAGTGCATAAAATAGGAGATAGATACCGAACATGCCAAATGTGAGATGGCAACAAGCTACAGTACCTAAAATTGCCTATAGGTGACGCTTTAAAAGCCTTTACTGCTCAACAATTTAGTGTTAACAGTAAGTGATGGCCCTATATTTACTTTTCTCACTCAGTTTCCGGCAATTTGGAATGTGTG